GACATAGCAGATGATAATTCTGTTTGCCATGTTGCTATTTTCTCGCTTTCACTGTTTGGGTGATGCACCAAAACACAACTAAAAGCTTCTTCTATAGCTTCCACCTTCTATAGTAGATTTACAAAGTGATAAAAATAATTATTATTGAAATAAAAATATAATTTTAGATTGCAACAAGACTGAGAGGGAAGAATATAGAAATAATATGACTATTATTTTCATTAATACCATCTTCGATAAAAAACTATTTAGAAACAAGTGTGTAAATATCTATATTAAACAGATGTTTATTTAATCTGAAATAATTGTAATTATATAGCTGCAAAAAATTGAATCTTAACCTTAATCTGTTTTTTTAAATTACTATAAAACAACAATAATAAATAATAAGACAGATAAACAGCATAAAATAAATGCATTAGTTAATGTACACATAATGTATACTTACTAAAATATCATTAACAATGGTAGTGATTTGAATTTCACTCGTCATCTTTTGGTTAAAAAATCTTATGCTGCAATAGAATAAAATCTATAAATCACCGTATAATAATTTATGTTTCATTTAGTTCTTTCATTATTTTTTTCAATATTCACAGTCAACGTCCAATAACATTGATTTGTAAACACAATTCATATTCTGTTTACGTTTGCATAACCTAAATTTGCATTTGAATGAAAAAGTATGATCGGTATCGGTAATATGTACTCGTGGTATGCACTGTCTCACACGTACATAGAACTTATACTAACAGTAAGTGTATAGTATGTATAGATATAGGAGCCTGCGATTAGGAATATACAGTACGGTCGTACACAGGTCTGGAAACTCCTACGGAGGGATAAGGCTTAATGACCGGACGATGTTGGCTAATCTGTCCGCAACAAGGTAACTGGATCCATTTGCAAGGATTCGTTGCACAGCGCGATCTTGTGTCTGTACCTGCAATACTTCTGTATTATGGTGGTAAACCATGCATATACGCTCGGTTGGTAAACGGGCCGCAG